GGAGAATTATTAGGGTCCGCCGCTTTGCATTTTAAATATTATGAGGACTCGTTAGTTGCGAGTAACCGATTTGAATTTGATTTTTCACTGCTGCCAGTCAAAAAAAGGAACCGGCAGCGACTAATAGAGAGACAAAAAAAAAAAAAAGAATTCCAGCTTGCAGGGCTCGATGCAGCTCGCAACAACCGAGTCCGCGTGTAAATTGCATGTTCGCCGGCCATGGATTCATTTGCTGGAAAAAGATGCGTTCTAAAAGCTTCGACTTTGTATTTTGAAATAAAAACAAGAATTAAGAATAGGTTTGATCTTAATAATTTGCTTCAAACTCTGATAAATTATTTGGAGACTGAACTTTCCTCTAGCAAAAKACATATATTGTGTAGCATATTGAACTTTGAAGGTTTAAATTGATGCGGTTAGGCCTCCTCACAGCGATAATAATTTGAGGTCAGTTTATTTATAACTACAGTACATGTAGTTATAGAAGTTTATGGACGAACTTCCAAGTATTTCCGACATTTGAATTTCGAAAATATTCGAAAGTTTCAAACTTCCATATTAATAGACTATCTGACTAAATGTACGTACATTCGGTCGATGATTATGCTACGTTTTTTCAGAAAATGCTGCTCATTTGATTAAAAAGTGATGTCTAGTTTTTGGGGCACTTTCACTGCAAATGTACTCGGCACATGTATGTACTGTAAATGCTACGTTCTATAAACCGCAGTAAGAACGAAAGAGCGTATTGACCGCGTCCATTCGCGTCCATTCGCGTCCATTCGCGTCCATTCCGCGTACAGTTTGCGTTCACCGCACGCGGTAAAGACGCGAAACAAACGCGTTCGCATGCTGCAATGATTTCAGGCGGTACTGTATATCAATATTTCTTTGTGTGTTTTCTTGCTGTGTAGCATCCAGACTTGAAGGCTGGTTCTGATGGTATGTTCATGATGTGTATTCCACCACCCAATGTGACAGGCTCACTTCATCTTGGTCATGCTCTTACCAATGCTATTGAAGATTGCTTAACAAGATGGTAAATAAAGAACTGCATTGAAAATGAATAAAATACCTTTATTTAGACATGATAATATTTAAAGCTAATTGCTCATCAAATGAGTGTCAAGCCAAATGTTTATAATTATTCTTGGCTGTTGTTGTACTAGTTTTCTGACAACAGGGAAAGACCATAAATCTTTTTTGTTTTTTGGACAGTGGCTGCATTAATGCGAAATTCATTATTTTTTACAGGAATCGTCAAAATGGCAAAATGAGTTTGTGGAACCCAGGTTGTGATCATGCTGGTATTGCCACTCAGGTACAGTATCTATCAAAGGGTTCGTGCTACTCCTTAAACTCCTTGAAAACTCCTTGAATTTTTGCTGAAATAGATCTGAAATAGATCTAGTCAGAAAGACTGGAAAATCTGAAAGTCGGCCATGTGCAACCACCTTGTAAAACCTTGGCATATTTAGCTGAACATACTCCTTGAAAATTCATTTTTGGGTCCTTGTATACTCCTTGAATAGTCCTTGAATTTTAAGTGGTTATCTCAGCACGAACCCTGCTATCAGAATTGCCGTATTTCACTATTCACTATTTCGCTATTTCACTAATTGCCCTATCAAAATTGCCCTATTGCTTGTTTATGTGGGGGATAGAATCACCAAATCCAATAGAAAATTCAACAAAATTTGCTCCTAGTGAAACAGTTTAATCTAAAATGGCCTGGTTTTCAGATATAATATGTGTTAATATGTACTAAAAAATATTCTGAGTGTTTGCTGGCTATTCTAATTCTCTTCGTGGAATGATACGGGTTTTAGAACAATTTTCGGGGAATTTGTGTTGATTTGACCCCCTCTGACAACCATGATCCTTTGCGTTTAAACAATAGATTGTTTTGATGTGACGTCATAGTGAAATAGGACAATTAATTCTCCTCTGTCTACATTACTTAGATGCTTTATTAATGCCTTTTGTTTTTTGATGTGTTTTCTTTTCTTACATAGGTTGTTGTAGAAAAGAAGTTAATGAGAGAGAGTGGACTTTCCAGGCATGACTTGGGTAGAGAAAAGTTTATCCAGAAAGTCTGGGACTGGAAGAATGAGTAAGAAGATTGTTGCTATTTAAATTGAATGTTTCATAGTTTTTTGGAATGACAGAGCTTCAAACTAATGTAACAGCTATTACATACAGTTTTGCATGTACTAAAGGCTTGTGTTTCGAGTTAAGTGAAATGTACAGAGCTATCGCTATTGCAACAAAATGGGTTAAGTGTACTTAAGTGTTTAAGTACAGGACATCTGACAGGCTGCACAGTTTCAGATCCGCACAATTGGATCAATTCCACACAATTCCTCAAAATCCACAAAATCTCGCACAATTTTTCAAAATTTTAAAATAATCAGGGTTAGTCTGAGTTATAGTAAAAAAAAAGGTGTTCTAATCCAGAATTAAATAGCCTAGGTATTAACACCTATTCTAACATTATTGTTCATTGGTAAATAGTATTGTAATGGCAAATCACATTCATCATTACGGATCAACATCAAAAACATAAAAGGGATCATGACTGATTATTTTTGAGTGACAAAAGCCACCATACTTTTGTACATTAAACAGACACATTTCTCAGGGATGAAAGCTGGAAAGCTGTTTCTTGTAATCAGATAATAAGGCATCTAAAAGCTCTTTTGACAGCAAATTCCAAAGGAAAATATTTCTTTTCTTTTGATTTTGTTCTTACAATTTACATCCTGCACAACTTGCATTTCTTTTCTGCAACCTGTCAGATACCCTTTAAGTAACACAGTTTAAAAAGGAATTACAGTGAAGTCGCTTGTGAGTTTGGTTGCCCGGACTCAAGGTGCCCAGAGGCGTAGTTCGGTCTCACATGTAATACATAGTTCAGACATCTGGAGTTGAAGTCCGAGATATGCATCAGTTCTTTAAAACTGGTTAGCCAAGGTCTCAAAACTAATGAGAACTGGCACGTACCATTTGAGAACTGGCTGCTTGGACTGGTCGATTGGACTTTATGGAAAGTGCCCTGAGACTCAGAAAACAGAAACTGTGCAAGAACAAATGAAGAATGAAAAATCGTTTGCTAAAGGTTTACTCTGTCTTAGGGTTTTCGTCTTGTGCAATTAGTATTTTTATGTTTTGAAGTGAGCTTCTAAAAGTAGGGAGAGATTGATCTTATTTGTGTTTCCAATAGAAAAGGTGATACCATTTACCATCAGCAGAGGACAATGGGAATTGCTGTTGATTGGGAAAGAGCATGCTTTACTATGGATCCAGTAAGTTAGCACCTCAAATACAGCTACAAAATTAATATTCTCTTATTCTCTACTTTCACATCTCCATAATGCCTTTCGTTTTTGGGGGATAACCAATCAAAAAACTGTCCCAAATTGAAAGGTTTCTTAATTGAATTTATACTATACCTGCTTTTATCTGTACAATACTGATTATCAGCTTATTCCAAGTTATTTTTGCGTGTAAAGATCATCAAGAGTTTTGGTCTTACAGAAAATGTATTGACTTACAAAAAATGTTTAAAATTTACCTTAAATGTCTTCAAGCTTCTATCTTTTTCTGTTTTTTACTTCTTCATTTTATTTTTGGATACCAAACAAGGTATTGTCAACATTGTCTGAT